CCAGCAATACTACGAAAAATAACCTCAAACCACAACGTGGAAAAACGGCTGACAGATGTATAGTTTTTTTTCGTATTTCCAATAGTTGGAGGCACAATGTTCATTCAGCCAGTTCACTTGAGTACAGAGTTTGAAGACCAATTAAATTACGCTTTTCCTTTTTTTTTGTCGCAGATTATAATTTGGAATGTTTTCTTTCAATTATCTCTAGGTTTCCATTTACTGGCAAGGTAGTTTTTGTTTCAAGATTAATTTAATTTCATTAACATTTTTCGGACCACCCTAGCATCAACAACAAAATATATTAGCAAGATTGAAACATTGTCTCGAATTATGTTATACATATTGGACACCCAAAAGGTAAATCTGCAGGAATATTGACATCAATAAAGGCCAGACGCGTCATTTATTCACCCCTAGCCGAGCCATTACTGAAACCAGACGTGGGAAAGCGTCAGCAGCACAATTGTTCGATACAATTAGGTGCACAATTTGAAACCGGCATGCACAGTAAGACCTGCTGTTAACTTGTAAACGGTTTATCTCAGGAAACAAAATTATAAAATTTTTTGTTAAGAAATGAACACTTCTACAAAAAGGCCATACAAGTCGAATCTCTAAAATTAATATCTTAAGACCTTTAATAACTTTTATCTCCACGCGGTCTATAATTTAAACTTTATTGTTGTCAACATTCGATAAAGAAATACCTTGTTATGGCCTAGGCCGATAAAAATTTTTCTGAGGCAAGTAATTTGTTCGATTCTTTCTCGCTAGGGGTATTGTTTTGACAAATTAATCCTTTTCTAAGAAATTAACGTACTAAACTGGTTTAATTTATTTATAATAAGCACTAATTTGTTTGTTTAACTGTTAATGTTTAATATTTTTCATTAAATTATTATAAAATTCAATATGAATAATAAAACTAAAAGTGAGGTTAGGCAACCAAGAAAACGCACGATTCTTTTTCTACGATTTAAATTATCTTTAAGTTTTAACTTGCTTTAAGTTTTCAGTGAAATTAAATGTTAAACACAAACAACCTATTTTTTAAATAAAAATCCAAACAAATTAAAATTAGATACCTACTTATTTATTAAACAATTAATTGAATTCAATGTAATAGCAAAAATCCATTTCTACTTAAATCATGTTGCTAGGTATTGTCAAACTATTACTGCTTCTAAGAGCAATAATAATTATTGTACATTTAATGTAATCTTTAGCTAATAAATAAATGAGATTCTAAAAAAGTGAGGTTAGGCCGCTTTGATGTTGAATTAAATTGACCTATATAAAGTGCTTTGAAGATAAAATGTTGTATGCCATTCGGCCAAGAAGTGCCTTTTTGTGCTTTGCTCAAACCTTGAGCTTAGCACAAAAAGTCTTACTTCTTAACCTAATGACATAAATAACTATAATGTTAATTCCAAACTTTTTGTTACTTTGACATTAAACATTCATTTTAAACCTATTTCACACAATAGTTCTTACACTGAAAAAAATAAGCTGTTGAAACAACAACAAAAAATATTAATTCAACTCTTTATGCACTTTAAATACAAGCAATGGTTTTTGCACGTTTACTTAACCATCTAAAAATGTCAAATTGTATTGTTTAATTGAACAACAAATAACAGTCAAATGAACAAAATAAGAATATTTGTTCTAATCTGCTAATTTGGTTAATTTAACATTCTTAGGGTGTTAAGGTAAATTTCTTGAAATGTCCAGGTAACCTTTTTAGCATATTCACTTAACACCAATAAAATGTTAAATTAACATTCTGAAAATGTAAAATTCTTTAAAGGTTGGTATCCAAAACAAAATTATGGAAATAATATATTATTATATATAAATAGAAAAAATTGAACCTTCACCTCGCCCAGAGTTTTTGTTTTGAGCGTGTTCCACCCATGATACATCTTTGTATCATGTGTTCCACCTACTTCAAATACCGACAGACTGTTTCGCCCTGTATTGAGGGTCTTAACAGTGTCGGGCAATATGGTGTAGTGAAAGTTCTACTGTGGAACACACCTTAAACAAACAGATATCTGATCTTATATACACCTAATCGTAAGCTAACTAAGGCGAGATGTAAGAAAACGTCACTGTCTAATGACGTGGCGTGAGTGTTCGAAGCGCCATTCTCGGCAATTTTATGAATGCAAATTTTACATTTTAAATTTTAAAGTAACATTTTAAATTTGTTAAATGAACAAATTTAAAGTTTTGGATTAAAGAGCAACTATAGTTATACGTTATAGTTATACGTTTATAAACGTTAATTTAATAGTTTTTTTGGGTAATCCTAAAAATTTCAGTAGTTGATTCAACAAATTCCAGCTATTAAATCAAAGTACGATAAACATTTTAATTCAAAATATTAGTTTATGTTAAATTAATATTTAAACTGTCAAATGAACAAATAAACTTTGACAAACTCTGACTTTTGCTTTAACACCAAAATATAGATTAATCCAATAGGTTTTTTGTTGAAACAACATTTTTAAAAATGACATTTAGGCAAATGTTAACTCAACTACATTATTTTTTTCGGTGTATTGTGCGAAAAGGTGACGGGCCACACTGGCTCTAACTCGACAATTAAACAACATTTGCGTTGAGGCTTTTCGGGTATAAATTGTTTTGGAAAATGGGTTTTGCCTAACAAACTAGATATAATTTGGTTTTAATTACAATACGCTGTTGTTTCAGTTTTAAGTGTAAAGTTTCGCAAAAGTTACTATGTATGGCACGCGTAAACTTAAGGTCAAAATAAATTTGTAGTCGTTGCGATAATGATTTTAAATTGAATGCAGTTGAAACACAGTTAATTGTGGAGTCATGTATATATTTATATTTCTCCCTTCTAATTCAAAAATAAACGTCCTTTTTACAATTAGTCGAAAATCAATCAGAATTTAATTGTGGGGGATGTTTTATGGTTTGTGACTTTTACATTGACATAACATAACATGCACTAATGAAACTTCGATGACAAGTGTAGCGAATTAAAATCACCCAAGGCAATTTCATTGTTTCAGAATTGGCAAGAATTTCATATAGACAAATCAAATTTTTAAATTACAATTTCTTTTTAAAAACTGTATATCAAGTTTATTTTTAAGTTGTCTAAGTAATTTTAATTGCCCCAATTAATTAGACCGTGACAATAAAAGAATCCTCTTCACCGATAACTTTCAATATGCAACCTTTTGCGTTTTTCATTTTGTTAAGATTCATGATCTCATCTCGAAATGTTTTTCATCGCCAATTACGCAATTCCTAATGATGGAACTGCTTTGCCAGTTTGGAATTATTAAATTATTATTGAATAAACAAAAATTAATAATTGGATTTGATTTTTTTGCGTTTATCAATTTCGTTTTAAAATTAAAACTACCAGTTAGTCTGGTACATTGTTTTTATTACAAAAACCCGCAATTGTTTCATAAATACCATTTTATAACAGATTTTAATTGAATTTAGCAAAAAATTTGTTTTTTTACTTTTAATATTCAAGTTGAGTTGTTAAAATTCGTAGTTAAAAATGTAATTAATTTGGCTTTGGTTGTGCGTAAAATCGTACAAAAAAGTAGTTAAATATAGGTGACTACGGCCCAGGAGAGAGAAAGTATTCCTAGCGGATAATAATCTTCGCTTGGAAAAGAATTTACATAAAATAAGTTAAAATTTTATGTGAACACACGTGAATGTTGTCCAATCATTGGAATCTAATGGTGAATGGGTATTTTGTTAAAGCCACTGGACGTTAATACTTGTAGTGGCTTAACAATAAATATAATATATGAATTGAAAGAAGAAAAAGTTTCGTGATTATTGCTTATCTTTTTTAATCATCATTTTTTAAAGTTTCAAAAATTTTTGATCGATGTACTATGCTCCACACCTCAAAGTCCCACCACGTGACCACGTACGGAACGCAGTCTTTTGAAAATTTGGCATTTAAGGCTTTTGAGGTTATGTATCTGTCAAAGTATAGTCAATGAAAGAAATAATATTTATAGTGTTACCGCTTATGTTTAAGCGTTAAAAGTTAATAAATCTTTATAGTATCACAATAACAATGGTTGATTTAAGAATTTAGAAATATAAATACTGCATTTAATGAAATTCCAAAGTGTAAGGTGCAATATAAGTGATATTTTTGTGCGTTGGGTCTACATTTCTCCATAAAATAGTTTCAACTAAACAGCATTTATTAAAAAAAATCTAACTTCTCTATTATGAAATAAGAATATCTGTATCAAAGGTAGGTTAATGTATTAGAGCAAAAAATATCACCTAATTTTGTATTTTAAGGTTAGAAAAATCTATTTTGACCAAAATAAACAAGTGGATTATTTGGAAGAGTGTGTTAATATGGTCATAAATAAATATAGGTATACTAAATAATTGTTGAATATGGTTCAAATTAAATTGAAGCTTTTATACTTCTAATGACAAAACTTGTGCATACCTCTCGGCAAACCTACTTTAAGTTAGATTATAAGAAAACAAACCATTTTTAGAGAAACTTGCAATTTGAATATAGTTATAATGATTTTTCAATGTAGGTCAAGTTTAGTAGAAGCTTTTTAACTATTTGACAAGGTACACTTTAAGCTGAATAAGAAAAACTACCACAGTTTTAAATACCATATCGTAGACTGTAAAATAATACAAAAATATTACTTATTTATTAGAATTTCATTAAATGCAGTATTTATATTCTTAAATTCTTAAACCATCCATTGTTATTGTAATGTTATAAAGATTTATACATTTTTAACGCCTAAACATAATATTATTTCTTTCGTTGACTATACTTTGACAGATACATAACCTGAAAAGCCTTAAATGCCAAATTTTCAAAAGACTGCGTTCCGTACGTGGTCACGTGGTGGGACTTTGAGGTGTGGAGCATAGCATTTTTTAAACTGTACGCAAACTTAACTTTCGTTATAACCTGACCATTTTTTCCCACTTAGGCCGACTGGAGCGAACAATTCGTGTTCAACGTGCATGCGCACAGCATATTCCCGTGTGACGCGCACAGTGGGGGAATCACCGTGCTCTTTCAGTACCCATCTTGCATTCTAGCCTCGGGCGATAGGGTGCGCCTTTTCGCCCGCCTCAGGGCAAATGTGGCATCCTTGGCGCCACCTACGACCTTGGAGTATGTGGCTGAGCAAAGAGTTGTCAGAGGTCAGCACAGTTTGCACTTTGACTGCGAACTGTTCAGCGAAAGGTACGTCGAGTACTGTTTCGTTTACGTCAGCCAGGCCATTACTGGCGCTGTTGCCGATGTCAGGATGGATTGCGTACCGACGTTGCCAGTTTCTGGTAAGTTTTAATATTGTTTAAGCATGATTAATAGATTGCCTGCCTTCCTTCGTTTCTTTCTTCATTCCTTCTTTCATTTCTTCCTTCCTTCGTTCATTCCTTCCTTCCTTCCTTCATTCCTACCTTCCTTTATTCTTCCCTTCCTTCATTCCTTCCTGTCTTCATTCTTTCCTTCTTTCATTCCTTCGTTCATTTCTTCCTTCCTTCATTATTTCCTTCCTTCATTCCTTCCTTCCTTCATTCCTTCCTTCCTTCATTCTTTCCTTCCTTCATTTCTTCCTTTCTTCATTCCTTCCTTAGTAGTGCGTACGCTAAGACTGCCCTTCCTTCCTCCCGTAGAAATTTTCAAGTTTTATCTTTATCACTATAAAGGTCTCATGTCTAACCAAACGCAGTACTTGATATAGACAACCTGTATCTAAACGGCATTTTCGTGTAAAAAATAGCACTAACTCATCAAGGAAATTTGAATAAACCGGCCGGCAACTGGGCGTAAAAATATGCGACCGAAAATTTCGGCTAGCCGCATCACAATTCGTCTGCGGATTTATGAAAATAACAAACACCGGCCGAGTTTGTTTTTTCGTTTTTCCGCTAAACGGAATTTTATAGTTGCCGTTTCAGCTTTGCGTGCTTTATTTGGATGCAAACTTTTTAATTAAAGCAGTTTATGCAGGAACACACTTTTTAAACTGCGGTTAACTTTTTTTAGATTGTGGACATAATTAAGTTTAATAGTTTATGAGGCATTTTTTTATTTCAAATTGTCTAAAAACGTTTATATAAAATTTAAATGAAATGCAAAGTAAAATAGTTGGTTGTAAAAAGCAATTTGTCATCAAAAAAGCTTAGAAGTTAAAAAAAAGTCTGTTTTAAAGTCAGAAGCTGATTAAAAACAGCTATGGAAATTGCAACAAATAAATTCCAAACCGGAAGTGCTTATAACATCCTGTAAGGTTTGAACTCCCGGTTAGGTTAAGATAATTTGGAAATTTACAAAAATTCGAGTATTTTAAAAAAAATTGCAAGAATTATGAAAGTTTTTAATTTTTTAATAAAATCATAGTTTTAACAGCTGTTGGTGATGTTTGGATATTTTGGAAATTTTAGAAAATTTTGAAGTTTACAAAAACTCGAGTAGGTATTTAAAAAAAAACAAAATTTTCAAATTCTTACAAAAAATTATAAATTCAATAAATAACAAATTTACAAATTTTCAAAATTTTGCAAACTTAAAAAAATATTAAGATTTATAAAATTCACGCAATTTTTAAATCTTTTGAATATTAAACATTTTTTAACATTTTACAAATTTTTAACAATTATATTTGAATATTTTGGAAATTTGGAAATTAACAAAAATTCGAGTACCTAGGTATTTAAAAAAAGAACCAACATTTTCAAATTTAAAAATGAAATTATTTAACTCAATATTTAGCAAGTTTCAAAGATTTCCAATTTTTTTTTTAAATTAGGAAAATTTAAAAAATTTTAAAAACTTAAAATATAAAAATTTAAAATATTTCTAAAATTTATGCCAATTTAAATTTTTTGAATATTAAACATTTTTTAACATGGCCGAAAATGCTAAAGAACTGGCCAGACTCCAACCGGAAGTGTTCAAATCGACCGGAAGGTTTGAACTTTTTATTTTACTTTACTTTACAAAAATTCGAGTATATTAAAAAAAACAAAATTTTCAAACTTGAAAATATTATTAATAAACTCAATATTTAACAAGTTTCCAAGACTTTCCAATTTAAAAAAAAATTGTTTTTAACATTTTACAAATTTTGAAAATTGCAAGAATTAAAACGACCGAAAAAAAAATTATAAATCCAATAATTAACAAATTTCCAAGATTTTCCAATTTTTTATAAAAAATTAAGAAATTTTAAAAATTTAAGCAATTTTAAACATAAATATTTACAATTACAATTTTCAAAATTTGAAAATTCAGGTTCAAGTGCTCAAAAATGACCAAAAGGGAATTTTAGAAAATTTTAAAGTTTGCAAAAGATTAAGTACCTATTTAAAAAAAATTGAAATACCCAAAACTTTCAAATTTTTAAAGAAATTTAACGTTTAATATTTGACAATTTTTTTAAAAATTTGAAAACAAAAAATATGAATATTTAAACAATTTCTAAAATTTTCCAAATTTTAAAAAAAAATTATAAAAATTTAATGAAGTGGAAAATTTAAATTTCAGAAATTTTTAAATTATTGTATTTTTAATTTTATTGGTACTAAAAATTATGCCATTTTTAATATTTTACTATTTTCAAAACTTTACAAATTTTGAAAATTGCAGGAATTATAAAAATTTACAAATTTTGAAAATCCTAAAAAATTAGGATATTTTTTAAATTCTTAAAATTTAGTGAAACATGCTCATTTTTCATTATTATATTTTTGGTAATAAAAATCCTTGCATCCCTAATTATGTAAAATAACAAAATTTCCTGCGGTTACTTTATCGGTTGTGTGCAGGCGTCAGCTCCTTTTCACACGCCTTTTATTTAATATGGTTTTACATTGAAAATTCTCTGTATACTACGACGTAAGCCTCAAAACGGATATTCGGCTTTCCGGCAAAATTTCCTTCCTAATTCGTAAATACTAATTTTCCCTTCGCACCTTTGTGGCTGTGCGATATAAAGTGTTAGAAAGGTGGTAATTGTTTTCATTATTTATTAGGTTTTTGTTGAAATAAGGGATCTTGCTAATCTTTGTTAATTTATTGGTCTTCTATTTTTTGGGGCTAAATAAAATTCATCTTTACATCAACGACTCTTAACGACATACAACTCAATTGGAAGAGAAAATAATTGTGAAAGAAAATGTACAGTACACGGTGGTCAAAATTAAAGTATAGGACGAACAAAAATGCCAACCAAAACTGATAGCATAATCTGATTATAGACTCTTTTGGTAACACAAAAATGTATTTTTCAAAATCCCAGCTGATCCTTTATTAAAGTTTTGCATATTTCTTAGTATTTTAAAATTGTTTATGCCATTTCGATAAAATACTCTAGTACCATTATCAAATGTTTTTAAAAATTTGGCAGATACATGACTGAAATATGGATAAATTACATTATAAATACAAAATAATGTAAAATACCGTGTGCAATATCTTATTTATTGTTTTAAGGTACCTAATATAAAACCAATAAATAACTAATGATTCTTTGAAGCAAAATCGATTACTGCTTGCCTTAAATTTTCAGTAAAACTTTTTCTTGGGTTTTACATGGAATTGTTTTTAACATGGAAACAGTATTTTTAAATTCTTCAGTCTCTGTACAAACATGCTTCTTACATCTAGCGATATCCCCTAGAAAGGAAGAGCATATCAAAACTTTAGTTCGTTCGTCCGTCCTCTCCCCTTAATATTTTTTTATGCCCTTTATATCTTGCCATTTTGCAGATAAAGCACATACATTCTTGGCTGCCGCGAAATTCTCTACCAATTTCTAAATTTTGAAAATTTGGCAATTGTGGCTATGGAAAAATACCGTTTTCTACCATATTGAAGTAGGTAATTTTAAATCATTTAAGTTAAAGTCTGCAGTAATTTTTATATTTTCTCGGAAACCCTAAACTCTGAATTTTTCGATTACCAAAAACAATTTTGTCTCCACAGCCAGCACATACCTTCTTTCGATTTTCTTCATGGCTTAACTTGAATTTCGGTTTAATTTACATTTTAAAATACTATTTTTAACTTTATAAAGTATACTTTAAATAAACAACTAAAGCAAAATGTCACTTGCGTTATAACGTATAGCAATTTTTTTCATAACCACCTTAATTATTGTTTTACAAAATTTGCAAGTTGTAATTATTTCATAGACAAACTTCCAGTATTTTTTGTTTTAAAAAATATTTAAGATCTTTTGTTATGTTTTGTTTTGAGTTTGTTTTAAAAAATATTTAAGATCTTTTGTTATGTTTTGTTTTGAGTGGTAAAAATAATAGGTGACTCAATAAATTAATACTGGGGAGTAAAGGAATTTAAATGATACAAAGTTTATTATTTTGCTTAATTCTATTAAAATTGTACAGGTAGTTTTAGTACAATAATTGCAAAATAATGTATAGAAATAGAAAAACAAAAAAGTTTGCAAAACTTTAAAATAGGATCAGCTGAGATTTTGATAAATACATGTTAGTGTTACCAAAAGGGTCTATAATCAAAATATGCTATCAGTTTTGGTTGGCATTTTTTCGTCCTATACTTAAGTTTTGACCACCGTGAGAATATAATATATTATAAAGTATAGTTTTAGAAATCGCTTGTTGCAGAAAATTTAAGTTAATCGAATTAATACGCGGCCTGGTAAAATGGGTGTCTGTCTTCTGTTGTTGCTTCAACAAAGAAGAAGGCCGTGGTGGCCTGCTCCGATAAAACACCCTTCATCGGGAAGTGCGGGCTGATGATAAATTGTTAATTTATTTTAACGAGGGAAAGGGATGGAAATTTTAATTTATCCCAACTAAAAAGTTTATAAGGATTTAGGTACTAATTTTGGGTATTAAGTTTAAGCTTTGGGTGAATTATAAGTTGCCCAATATTATTTATATTTACAGGGTGTTATAAAATAACAAAAAATAACGGGAATTGTTAAATTTTCGCGGGTTCGGAGGGTCCGTTTGTCATAAAATTTTCTTTATTATGTTGGTATACATGCCCCCGAAGTATGATAAAAACTTTAGCTGTTTTCATTGTTTACTTTGTCTGTGGCAGCCGCTAAGGTTAGACGTGTTTTATGAGCTCGGCGATTTTTCGTTCGTTAAAAGAAATGGATCAAAGAATTTGTATCCAATTTTGCTTAAAAAATGAAATAAATTGTGTGAAATGTTAACAAAGTCCTATAGTGAGTCTGCTATAAGTAAAACAAGAGTTTACAAGTGGTATAAGAGTTTCCAAGATGGCCGGGAAGACGTTGAAGATGACGAACGCCCCGAACGCACAAGCACATTAACAACCG